GGTTTCTGTGTCAATAATCATACAGAAGACTTGCCCATCTGTCTCCTGAGGAGCAGCCAGTGGATTCAAAGCCTGTGAGTTGGCAGGACAACTCCTTACCACCAAGACTCCAGAGCTCCCAAGTCTGGCCCGTAGGAACCTTGTATTGTAGGGTTTCTAAGGCTATAAGTCTTTGATTTACAGACTACCACATTTTTCTTTCTTGGAGCACTGGTAGATTGTAGCCATCTAACCCTTTGGTTAGCCAGGCACTTGACCACTGCACCACCAGGACTTCTCTTGTGCATGAAAGGACATTTTTTTTAAAAAGTGAAGAAATGTGCAAATGAGAGACTATGTTTTAAAATTATGTGTCAGATAAGAGTTAATACCCAGAATATACACTGATGGTATAACAGGTATGTGATAGCTACTTATCAAAAGATCAGCATTTCAAATCTACCAAGTGCTCTGTGGAAGAAAGATAAGTGGTCACCTCTAGTGAGAACTAGGTAGCTAGTGCAGGGTCTGTGAGTCAGCTTTGATTTTTCATTTGCAAAATACTAATAATAAGGCCTTAATAAGCTCGTACTTGATGCTTACTAACCCACTGTTATCAAGTCAGTTCTGACTCATGGTGACCCCATAGGACAGAGCACAAATGCCCCATACTTTCTAAGGCTGTAAACTCTGTGCACATACTAGAAACAGCAATGCTTATTACCACATAATTCTGCTGGTGGGTTTGAACTGCTGACATTTTGGTTAACAGTTGAATACCAGTGCACCTCCAAGATTCCTTTGAAGCCCACTAGGGTGTTTTTTGAATTTTAAAACTAACAAAACCAAATGTATAAAAGATACAGAATAACTAAATCTTTTCCTATATTGCTGATGGGAGCATAAAATGATGCAATTACTCTGGAAAACTATTTAGCAATTTTATCTTAACATTACATGTGCCCTCATTTTAAGGTATTTGCCCCAAAGAAATAAACACACATATCCACAAAAAGACTTCCACAGAAATCCTGATAGCAGCTTTATTTACCACAGCCCCGAATTGTAAATTATCCAGATGTTCACCAACAAAAGAATAACATGGGTGCATTCAGACAGTGGAATAGTGAGCAATAAAAGGAAAGATTGGCTGATTCATGCTGCAATATAGATGAATCTCAAAAGCATGTGTTGATTGTAGCTCGGGCAATTAGGTTAGAAAGTGAAATAAAAAAGAAATTAAACTATCTTCATTTGTAGAGTTTTTTTCCATTTTGTATATAGAAAATTCTAACACATCACTAAATTGTCAGAACTGAAAAGTGAATACAGCAAGATTTCAAGGTACACAAGAAATACACAAATGTCAGTTCCATTTCTCTATAATTGGAGTGAACAATTCAAAATTAAGAAAACCAGTATGCTTATAGTAGCATCAAGAAGAATGAAATGTAGTTGTTATTGTTGTTGTTACATGCTATCAAGTCACTTGCAACTCAAAGCAACCCCTATGCACAACAGCTCTGAACCCTACTCTGTCCTAAGCCAACCTTATTGTCTCTGACACACGTACCCCAAATTACACCAGTCACTGAGTCAATCCATGTCATTGAGGGTCTTCTTCTCACACTCTCCTTCCACTCTCCTTAGCATGATGTCCATCTCCAGGGACTGGTCTCTCCTTGCAGTATGCCCAGAGTATGTGAGATGGAGCTTCAAAATCCTTGCCTCTAAGGAGTAATCTGATTTTACCCTCTCCAGGACGAACCTGTTTGTCCTCCTAGCAGTCCATGGTATATTCAGTACTCTTGAATAAAATACTTAGGAATAAATTTATCAAAAGGAATGTAAAACTCATACCCTGAATAACTTCTTAGACCTTGAAAGAAGGTCTAAGTGGACAGATGGCCTGTGTTTAGGGATGAGAAGACATAATGTTAAGATGGTGTTAACCCAGCTAGGAAATTAGAGAATTTTTATTGAAACCAACATTTGTCAACTTAATGTAGCCATTCATCCAGAAATTCAGTGGTAAGACAGCCAAAAGTAGCTGTGTTCATAGGGCTTAACATTTGATGGACTCAGCCATTAATAAAACAATATAATCTTATGTCGTATTCATACCGTGAAGGAAATAAACAGGATAATGTCACCAGGGAAGGTGTTTTAAATTAGATTAGGTGTTTTAAATTAAAGACATACTTTTTTGAAGAAGCAACATTTGAGTTGAGATTTGAAAGACAAGGAAGATGCAGACTTATAATTTTGTCCATAAAAAGCAGATATGATTTTCATCAAGCCTACAAATCCAACTACCACCTTCTAGGAGATAATGGAGTTCTTGAATAGTGCAGGCTGTTAATAGGCTCTGCCACTAACCAAAATATTGGCAGTTTGAATCTATCTAGAATCACTTTGGAGTAAAACCCTGGAGATGTATTTCTGAAACATCAGACACAGAAAACCTGATAGAGCACAGTTCTCTGACACAGAATCACCACAAGGTGCATCAGTTCCTCAAACTAGTCTTGTTTTTAAAACAGAGGTCAGAGGAACAACTCACTACACTATGGGATGCTGTTAGCATTCAGACCATGGGAAACTCTTGATCAAGTGACCTGCTTTGCTCAACAATTGGATTGTAAAGAAATCCAGAAGGGAAGTCTATAGGGGGGAAAAAGAGTTAAGAGACCTACCAGTCCATGTCAATGTGTAAACTGTATGACTTCTTACTCAAAGAAGCAAGCTAAAAAGAGGAATTAGGAGACCACTGAGAAATTTGAACTTTGCTCTTTTGATGCATGTTAAACTATTTTTTAACATTTTTTTAAACATGGTGTCTTGCTTTTGAGACTTACAAAATCTGTAGATGGAATGATTCAAGTAAGAGTTGCTTCAGACCCATACATGTAAGAAGTGAGTGAGGGGAAGAGACAAACCCTGTCCACAGTGACTAGGTGCATGTTGAAGCTGGGTGCTGAGGGCTTCATTTCACAACACTGTCTACTACTTTTTGTGCATTTAAAACTTTTTCCAAAATAAATTTTTAAAAATTTGTTATTTAGCTTAATTAAAACTAATGAGATTCTCCTGAACCTAGTTTTGAGAGTACGTTGACTGTCAGTTCATATTCATTTCAGTGAAGTTTAGTATCTGCGTCTGTTCATTTTTATGAATATTTATCAAATCACATTTTAAAAATCATTTGAGCCATATGAAACTGCTTGCTTGGTAGTGCAGAAATGTCCACATTGGGAGTTTAATAGGTTTGGGCCTGATACTTGAAATTTCACTAAAAAGCCTAATATTTTCTGCGTGCATGCATTAGATGTCCATTCACAGCCCGTTTCCTGGTTACCAGAGCCCATTCTTTTATGCTTGGATTCCAAGTTTGAAAAAGCTGTTGCTCATCATTAAGTGATTAAAAAGGAAGGGAAGGAAGAAACCTTGAAAATATCTTAGGAAAGAGCATTTTAAACAGTGGAACTACCAAGTATATTGCCCGAGGCAACAACTGGTCAGTATTTGCCAAGCACAAAAGGACAAGTGTAATTCAGTTGTGTCACACAAGTGCAGTTGGTGAGCGAAGCCAGAAGATAAACCAGACCATGTAGCTTTTTAGAATTTCTAAACATGGTGAGAAGATGCAATTTTAAAGTTTATTCTAGGTACTTCACGAAAATAGATGGAAGCAGAGGACCAGTTAACTTCTTGTACAGTCCAGACAAAAGTAATGGTGACTTGGACCACGTGGTGGCTCTGTATCTAAACGGGAGTAGCCAGATTACGGCTGTGGTGGTTTGGTTTTTTTTGTTTTTTGTTTGTTTGTTTTTTAAAATGTATTTTATTTATTTATTTTATTATATTATTTATACATGTACCGTCAAATCAGATCTGAATGGTTCAGGTGGAGATTGCCCCCTCCTTCTCCAGCAGAGCATCTGGTGGATTTGAACCATGTACTTCTGGGTTTGCAGTGCAGTGTCTTGCCACTAGGCCACCAGAGCTCCCTGGCTGTGTTTTGAAGTAGCTCACCGGAGGTTTGACTTGTCAGGACCAAATGGAAAGTGCCCAGCACATACAACATGTTCAGTCACTGCTCCATTGTTTTGAGCACACCATTCTATTTGAGGCACTGCTCTAAAGTGCATTGCATTTTTTAGTTTATTTAATTCACTCACCATTTTGAGGTGGATCATTTGAGGAGGGAGCTCTGGTGACATAGTCCATAAAGAGTTATGCTGCTAACTCAGACCCACGTGCCCTGTGATTTGGATCCAGCGGCAGCTCCTCCTCTGGTGTGATTTACAGCCACTTGCAGGGTCAGCTATGAGTTGGTTCCAACTGTGTTATCATCCAAAATGCTATTACTGTTAACATAAATGGTCCCTCAAATCTAGCATTAGTCTTAAGAGCCTGTTTCCAAACAAGAGTAGAATGTCTGGTGCTTAATGCGTCTTTGGGTCAAAATATGTCCCTAAACTAGCAGCTTCTGAGTAAAAGATTTACCAATCTAGGTAGAATTCAACTGTGGTCATCATTTCAAAAATGTAACTAGTGTAGGCTGATTTTTGCAGCACTGAGAAAGTCATTATGAAATAAAAGTGCACAAATTAAGAGAAAAGGCCTTGTAAGTCACTTCTCAGTTGCTGAGTATAGTTCAGCGTACCTAATTCTCCAGCACTCCAAGGAAGGCGTTTACACTAGCCTGTAAATCTTTTCAAACTTTCCATTTGGGGAAGCTCTTGGGTTGACTTTCCTCTACCACCATCATGCCATGCCGAGACTCATGGCAGCAGAGCAGATAAACATTTGGAGTTCCCCTAAATCATGTTTCCAGAGGACCGTATCTGAAGGCCAGCTTCTTCCATGATTGTTATAGCATCTATATCAGAACTAATCAGAGTTCTCTTACCTTTTCCATTTGAACCAGATGTGAGCGCCTCCTGCCTGAGGACATGGCCTGCCGTTTCACAGTGACCTCTCATCCTATCTCGCTTCCTGCCTCTTTTGTTTTTTAGCAGTCATCTTCATCCAGTGGTGTTGTGTTTGGGTCTGGAAATACTGGCAGAGGGGGAGGTTTCTTCAGTGGCCTTGGAGGGAAACCCAGCCAGGATGCAGCCAACAAAAACCCATTCAGCTCAGCCAGCGGGGGCTTTGGATCTACTGCCACCCAAAGTAAGTTACAGCCTTTCCCAGCCCCTCAAATGTCATCATTGTCTTCCTCATGTTGTTACCAACTTTCAGTAGCAAATATAGAAAGAAAAGTTTCAGATGCCCATTTAAACTGTTTCCCCCAAAGCAGTGTGGTTGGGATTTATTTTAAATTTTTACATTTTTTTAAATGAGATGTCCATATAAGTTGCAAAAAAGACATTAGGGCTGCAGGCAGAGGGTCTGAGTATGGAGCTGCTCCCGAGGCCCACAGCGCTGCACTTCTTAGGAGCAAAGTGATTTGAAGTGAATGCAGGCAGACAGGCAGAAAGGGGTAGCAACAGAGCATGGGGGGGTGCCATGTGGTACTTCTCTCTGAATTTGCTTTAAAAACCAGTCACAACAGAGAAACCAAGGATTGGAGCTCTTACTCGTTTCAACCTCTAACATTTTTTGTTTTCTTTTTCTCCAATTCGGTAACTATGTTGTCACCTTCTTCTCCAGCTGATTTCAAACTTCTTTGTTGATCTGTTTTACATGGTTGGAAATGAAAAATCTTATACTCTTTGCTTTTAAATATCCTGTTGCTGATAAGAGGTTGTGGTGGGAAGATATGAGCCTCTCATCTTGCTCTTGGATGCTCTCAGTACACAATAACAAAAAATTAGAAATCAGAACCCCTTTGCTGTATGTTGATTCCAAATCATAGCACCACTATAGGACAAAGCAGAATGGTTTCATAGTGTGTGCAAGACAGTAATCTTTATCAAAGCAGACTGCCATAGCTTTCACACAAGGCACCTGATGGCTTTGAACCACCAACCTTTCCTTTTAGCGGCCAAGCATTTAATGACTGTACCACCAGGGCTTCTTATGTGCAATAGATCTTAATTATAAAGAGCTAATGCTCTACGTACAGCACAGTTGTTACCTAAATATTAAGTTTCACATAGTTGAAAGCAAAACTTGAATCCTAAATCATCGGAATTCATAGATCAAAACCAGGTCTTTGATGTCACTGTCTACTCTAGTAATACGCATGGAAAGCTTGCTTGTCAAGAGACACATACCTCTAGACTCGGGAAGTTATATAAGCGGAAATTTTTGTTATTCAGCTTTCAGTCTGCCAGGATAGATTTAGAATCCCAGAATGAAGGGATCTTAGAAATCGAGTCTAGCAGTTTTCAAAAACTTAGTGTAAACCAGTTCTTAAACAAAATCTTTATGCAAAACCAGATTCACTTTGAAGCAGAAGCCAGGGACCTAGGGAGACAGCATGAGCTCTTTCCATACTGTCATCCCAGGACTGGGATCTCTCTACAGCACACATTTTGAAAGATATTGTCATTGCCTCAGTTGCTCCATTTTCCAATGTGGAAATAGACTCAAAATTGTTGAGTGTTTGGGTGGAGGTTTTTGAGGGTGGGAGTTTTAATTGTTTTTAGTCCTACAACAAGAAACTGCCTAAAGCTTGATTAGATCTTAGTTAATATGCCAAATGTAACTTGAACACAATACAGCAACAACATATCCCAGTGTTTGTCTGGTTAATCCTGACCCATAGTGACCCTGTGTGGTGCTTCCAAGGCTATAAATCCTAACGGGAAGAGACTGCCCATCTTTCTCCAGGGGAGCCACTAGGAGGTTTGAACTACCAGACACATGGCATTTTTAGTTAGTAGCACATACACCTCAGATAATTAATATTAGTTAGAAATCTTGATTTCTTCCACAGATCTATTATCATCTTAAAAATTTTTCTCCTGACTAATTTATGTCTAGTGCGATGGTTCTTAAGAATTATCTTCTTGTAAATAAATTAGTATTAGAAAAAAAAAATTCCTTCTGTCACTAATGCGCTGTGGCTAGCTTGTATCTCCTTACGAATCAGCTGAGAACATCTTGCTCCAATTCTGCATTCAGTGGCGTAACAGTGGTAGGCTGAACCCAGCTATGGTGACAGCATGTACCTCATGGACATTGGCAAAGAATCCAAATCAGGGCTACCTCTCCTGAGGCACACCCCCTACCCCAGCCCAGCTTGTTGTTAAACATTTACAGGCACGCCATCGCTTCTATTTCTAAAACTGAATATATGACTTTTTAAAAATTTTACTTCATTGTTAAGAATATACACAGCAAAACATTTACCAAGTCAGCAGTTCTGTGTACAGTTCAGTGATGCTGATTACATTGTTCAAGGTGTACATTTCATCCTCCTCATTTTCTGAGTTGTTTTCCGTCATTAATATAAACTCAGTGCCCCCTAAGGCTTCATTACAAACAACCTTTCAGATGAGATCAGGCGCATTCAGGGTGGTATGGCCGTAGACCCAAACAACCTTTCAAATTACCGAACGTCGATTTGATCCCATAAAAATAGCTCTTTTAAAAGCATAATATTCAAGACAGACATTTTTACTAGTTAGCACACACTTGGTTTTAGGAAAACTTAAGGGACTAATTTTTCCTTAACGTTTAAAGATTATCTCAAGGCACTTGTTACTTCTAGCCCGCTTGACTTGAGAAGGTCTAAGGTCCATGAAAATTTTAAATTCTATTCTACATTTGCCCCCCATTTCAGCAGAATTCTAAAGACTCTTTGATCAAAATGTTTAATAGTGATAACAGGCTACCATCCAGTTCTTCCCTTTTTTTGAACATATAAAAGTTTAAAATGACTGTACAGTAAACGAACTCAAAATATAAAAAAAAAAATGGAAACTTCACACAAGAGAAAATACAAAAGCCACATCCACAAGTGCAAGCTTAGAGGAAGGGAGACAGGAGCTAGACCTCATCTGGGGGGAGGGCGCTGTGCTCACGCCAGCTCTGATAATGCTTTGTGCACAGTCTCTGGTGACACCCTCTTTCTCCTGGGGTGGCTGCCGCATTTGACAGTTTGAGTTCTTTTTTTTTTTTTTCCTTTTGACTATGTTAATGCTTATCCTTGTTCTCTTCTTGCTTCTCAAACAATTACTTCTCTGCTATTTTTTTCTCTGTGTTATAAGGCATGTCCCCCATAGTCGTCTGAGGTAACGTAGACTCCACTCCCTGCATTAAGTCTCTTGTCTCTTTTTAGCCTGAAATCTTTATCAAATTGACTGGTTTTATTTTGCTACTATCCTTATCCAGGGAGCTCTGGTTGCTTAGTGGTCAGAAATTGTACTGCCAGCTCAAAGGAAGGCAGTTTGAATCCACCAGTGCTTGTGGAAGAAAGATGGGGAGGGTCAGTTATGATTAAGTTCTGACTCAGTGGTCCATAAAGACAACACTTTGTGCTCTAAAAGGATCCTTGGACAGAGAGGGAGAAATTATGAAACAGAACTCAAAATCACAAAAATGACCAGGTTTGCACTAGTAGGGGCACTGGAGCCCTCAGGACTATGGCCCTCAGTAACTGAGCCTGGAGCTAAAATCGCCCCCGGGGCTCCACTTACAACCAAGCAGTAGGCATGCTTGTAAGGTCAGCAATACTACCAGGCAAGTGTTCACCCACTGGAAGAATGAGTCATAGCTGATTTGTAAAAGGCAGTGTTTGCCCAGAGAGAAACCTGGGAAGTCAGGTAAGGATAGGATTGAAGGATGAGTGGAAATGAGAATCACAGAGAAGTAGCAAGTAGCTCTTACAGTGTAACTAATGCCATAAAATAAAATCTGTAAATAATTGAATACTAAACCAGTTGTTAGGTATTGTCGAATACAACTCATAGCGACCTTATGAACAGCTGGCCTGAACCCTGCCAGAGACCAGGCCAGGCCCCACCAGGATCCACAGGCCCGGGACAGGGTTTGCAGGCATCAGCAGGGGCTGCTTCAGCCTACAGGGGGTCCTGAGTAAACCAGTAATAGTTCTATAAACTTTCACTCAAAGTACAAAGAAATAAAACATTTAAATAATACTAGTGCTGTGTTAGATCTGGTAAAAGATGAATAATCTCCTGCTACACAATTTACAGCCTCTGGAAACCCCTTGGAGGATCAACTGTGAGTCGGCCTTGGCCCTCAGCAGTGCTGCGTACACCTGATCCTCTTCTCACTGTGCATAAGCCCGTTGTTGCAGTTGCTGTGTCAGTCCATCTCAGTGAGAATCTTGTAACATGTCATCTCCTCTCTGCTATGAATTTTATCCATAAGGTCCCATTCCCGTTTTTAGTCTTGTCCTGAGGACTCTGCTATGAGTTGTTCTTTGTGCGTTTTTTTGTCTTTAAGCTCAACCCAAAAGACAAGCCATTGGATCAGGTAATGAAAAAGCCATGTAATGAATGATTGGAGCTCTAAGACTCCTCTACAGCTGCTCTTTAAGGAAATGTCTTGACGAAAACTTCTTCTGACCTGGTCTTTATGATTACTATATTAACATCACATTTAGTTCATATCAAAATCTGTATCAAATGTAATTTGGGTCAGACCCTGGTGTTGAGTTATCATACTGGTTTTGCCAAATAAAAGACTGAAGCAGAGCCATGTGAAAGTTCACAGCTGGTGCTAGTTTAATATCTGCTTCTCACCCTCAAAGAAGCCCAATGTTCAGTAGTTAATTGTTTGACCACTACTAGAAGGTTGGCAGTTCAAAACCACCAACCACTCCAGGAGAAAAATGCAGCAATCTGCTTTACTTCCATAAAGAACTCCAAGGTTGGAAGCCCTCTTGCGGTAGTTTTGGCATAGTCTTTAGAGAATGTCGCTGTTAACCCGAAGATAACCTCAGGGGTTCAAATCCACCAGCTCCTCCACAGGAAAAGAATGGACAACCTCCTCCTATGCGGTTACCACCTCAGAAAACCTACTGGAGGCTCAGCTCTGAGTCCGTTCTGGCTCGATGGTACCCAGTGTTTCTAGGATCTCAGTGAGTTGAAATTTATAGCAATAGGTTTGGTTACCCCCAAAGTACCATTCATCAGACAGCTCTGCAAAGATAGACTGTCTTTCTACTGACCGACTTATCCACAAGTGAACAACAGTCTTCTGCAGAGAAATAGTCCTCCAACAATGAAGATAATTCTCTCCTTTCATATATTCTCAAAAACTAGCGGCTATTTTGGAGCTTATATTTGGAGGGGGCTAAGAGACTTCCTGGTGACTATGGAGATGGAAGGAGAGCTTTATGTCAGTAGCCAAAAAATTATCATCAGATGGCACCTTCCTCACCTCAGTCAAGCTTAAATAAATGTTGAATTTTCTTAATATGCAGAGCTGAGCTGCTTTTGAGATCATAGACTACAACTTCCACACCTTTAGTGGTTTCATTCTTAGAGTCTTTGTGCAGTGAAAGATTTTCTTTTTGATTGCTGACCCACCCTGTGTTTAGGTTTCTTATATTTGACCTGACTGGAATTTAGAAGGAAGAATAGTTAAAGGAGAACAGAGAAGGGAAGTAGTATTTTCTGAGAGTGCACCATCTGGTAAACTGGTGCTCTACAAACATTATCTCAAGTAATCCTCATACTTAGAATTACTATTCTCATTTTATGCGTGAGGAGACGGAAGTTTAGGGTTGTTGAGTCTTGCCCAAGTTCATATACCTGTTCCACATTCTAGTCCCAGTCTGATGGAAAAACTATTGCTCATTCCACTGTGCTATGCTATGAAGATCTTAAAAACCACTTATCCTAAAGAAAGTCTTCTAGATGTTTTCTCACTTCTTAGAACTTGCTCCAAAAGGAAATCCACCCTAATCTTGCACTCAAATTTGTTTCTGTGGGATTTTGTGTTAAGATGTATTGACACATGACTGAACTATATGAGCTCGAACATATCAGAAATTATGCAAGGCGTGCAGGCCAGAGCAAGGTTCAGATTTGTCGTTCATGGGCTTGCTAGGAGTCATCGTGGGTTGAATGGTACAGCAACACTAAACAAAATCAAGAAATGACAGTCTTATCTTTTCAAAATGCCAAGTTACAGGAATGGATAAATTGCCTCTTTCCTCATCTTTAGTAGCAAGTATATTACCAGTGATTAATCAAATGTAACTTCTAGGATGGTTAAGCTTCTTAATAAATATTCTGATAAAAATTTATGAAAAAGTAAAGATCCAATTGCTTAGGATCAAATTTTGTAGATACCACTGGGGATAAATAATTATAACATTTTAAGGTCACTATGAGTCATACCCAACAACAGAGTGATTTTTTAAAAAAAATTTTGGTTTTTTTTAACCCCAGTCCAGCCATTATTCCTTGGCATGCTAGATACATAGGTCCTGTCTTGAGCTGCCAAATTGACAGCATCAGTTTTACAGAGAAGAGACCCCCTCAAGATTCATGTCATAGTCTTGGCGCCTGGAAATTTGTAGTGGTAGGTTTCGTTATAGAAGATTGTCTCCTTCTGGGGTTGGCGATAAAGAGCATTGTAGCTGGAAGTATTAAAGTTTTATCTCAAATTGTGTGGTAATGGAAGTAGAGTGAAATGAGAAACTGAAATAGACAGGTTAGTGGTGGGGCACCTCTTCATGTGGTTAGATTTTGAGAACATTACCTCCTGTCCCATCACCTTCACTCTCAGCCTCTGATTGGCTGTGGGAAGGACTGGTCTTGCACATCACTGTCACTGACATGCAGTGCTCCTCTGTTGCCCCTCAGAGAAAACCTGAGCTTATTATTGCAGCCTTTGATGCTTGTGTCTTTACGATCCTTCTCTTAGCATCTCTCTGCTTTATTGTGAGCATAGCTAATTATAAAAAAATCCTCAAAATAATGGTGAGAAGGTATTCATTATCTCTCCCCAAAAAGGAAGGAGTGGGTACAAAGAACAGATTTAAAGAAAATGCCTGAAATAAGAGTGTGCTGGGTGCCAAGTTGCACTGCACACCAAAAGACCACACCTTGCAGTTCAAATCCTCCAGCGGCTCTGAGGGAGAAGGATGGGCAGTCTCCTCCCAGCTGGAGGCTCAGCTGTGAGTAGGAGCTGACTCCAGGACAGTGAATTTGAAGCACAAGGAAGAACTCAAGATACTAAAGAGCTGAACAGAAGATTCCAAAAGACTGCTCGGAATGACAAAGCAAAATAC